GGGATTACGAATAAAGAATTATTTCTAACATCACCTGGGTAAAAGAATGGTGCAATATTGTGAAGTTGACATTGCCACAGAAAATGAGGTTAGAATACAAACGAAGGCAAAATAGATGATATTGATATCATTTACTTGAAGAATTGATCAACTCAGCCTACGCATATTTCATGATTTCTTTGAGGTCTTGTTAAAATAACAGATCATATTACTGTTCATTCTTGGCCGGCCATCCTTAATTTATACACATGTATAGTATATTTGTGTGTTTGGAATGATATGAAAGGTTGAGGCATAAAATGAATTCTGCCACTTAAATAAATGGGGTTTACTACCGCAAAATCCCCAGGGATTCTAAAAAAAATCTAGAATTCTAAAACCTAAAAACAAAACCTACCTCAAACCATAACAAGAAATTAAGTAACCAATTAATGAAAACAAAAGATAACATCTGTAACAACTTTGAATAACATAACTCATAACTAGAAATGAAGAAAAAAAGAGCCCACTGCTGTAAACACACAGCAAGAAAGCCAAAAGCCCTCTCTTGGATCCAGGCAAACAAAGTCTCCTTGAATATTAAACAAAAAAAATAATTAAATGTTATTTAGCAATACTCCAACATAACTCATAACTAGAAATGAAGAAAAAAAGAGCCCACTGCTGTAAACACACAGCAAGAAAGCCAAAAGCCCTCTCTTGGATCCAGGCAAACAAAGTCTCCTTGAATATTAAACAAAAAAAATAATTAAATGTTATTTAGCAATACTCCCATCAGCCATGATTGAACGCTTTACAAAAAATGATACTTTACACACATACCAAACACGACATGCAACACGTACAAACTATCATCCTCCCTAACCAGGGCAGTTTACGTCATAAAAACTATTTCATACACAGGACCAAACTACTGAAGCACCATTGATCCGAATCTCAAATAGCTTAAGAACTGTTGCAGCTTTAAAAAACATATCAAATTGTTAGTATTAAATTTGTACATGTAATGCACAAGTATACTATTTTTTTCTGGACTGTGACTCCCGACCTTGAATATTCTATTCTAAAAACTTCCTTTTCTCTCTCCTCATTCTTCTCCTGACCCCCATGCTTTACCTTCCCTTCCTAGTTCTCTTCTTTCTTACATCCATCATCCATATCATTTCATTGTTTTATCTGTATACTCTGATTTTGTATCATCATACTTCTACCTTATAATGAATGACACTGTGTCAACATTATTTTGAGGAACTTAAATTCTACAAGCTATATGCTTTTGATTAAGTTCCTTTTTTCACATGTAATTTCGAAATTATTTAGTGTGAAATAAATGAAACTAAACTGAAACTGAAGGTCAAGAGTCACTACTGCTCTCTAAGAAAATAGCAGCCCCTAGGTAGAGTACTAGCACACCACACAGTTTGCTAGAAAGTCCTGATTTATATACCATTTTATTTTCTTTTGTTGTAAAATCATGTGATACATATAAATATGAATGCGTTAGTATTTGAGGGATAATTCCCTTTTCAGTCTGACAAAATTAATAATATCCATTTTTCCAAGTTTCTCAAATATTATATATGAATATTTGTCAGTGGTAACAATAGTACATTCCAAAGATACCATTTAACATGATGGAGTTTGATTTGGGGGCAAAATGGATGTAAAAGATTCCAGATATTAGTTTGATGAACATAATTACGTAGAGTTTAACAGTACCTAAGGTTAAAAAAGCTACACAGCATATTTGTTTTTTCCATTCCTATCATAGCATCATCATTAGTTGTGTGCTATACATTTAACACAAATCTGACGCAATACAAATTTGTTGGAGAAGCCAACTTTTGAACAATGATGAAGAATGAAGGAGAACTCACTGACATCACAAATCCCCCCCCCCCAAAAAAAGGGACCAGGGATGAAATTGAATCAGCAAGAAGTAAGGTGAATCATATTAATATTGTAGGTTTATATGATTATACTGGAACCAACCCTTTATTATAGCCCTTTTTATTTGTTTTGTTGCAAAGGTATTACAAAAAAAAAAGGTTTTGGGTCCCCGACCCCCATCACAACTAATTATTCACATTACAACCATCATCTATAGTCTAGTGCTTAAACACTAAATTAACATATTTTATGTATGTGGGAAATCTGAGAATAATATTCAGATCTGTTCTTATTAATTCACAACAAACATACATTCGGTTTACTTTTTAAAGGGGGCACTGATCATTGACTCCCCCTCTATTTTTTGCCACAATTATACTAAATCTGCACAAACTACTGCATTGCTAATTAAACAAAAGTGTACAAATTCTATCTCTACACTATCCCATATTAATGGCTTGTACTAAACACTCAGGTCGCGGCTCGTTTGGCCATTTAAACAAAATGGTGTCTTCAAATCGGTTTTTAAGGGGGAAAATATTATTTCAAATTAGTGACTGTTTTTACACTCAGGTCGCGGCTCGCTGGGCCATTTATTCAATGATGTCTTCAAAGGGGATGCGTGGGGAAATTTTCTTAAAAAAGAAGTTGGAAGTTGTGATTATTATTTTTTTAATGATAGACAAATAAGAAGATTAGAATTAAGGCTGGCATTGGGAAAGACAAAATACTAGGTGATTAAAGTGGATTTTAATCCACAATAACAGCCTATAGATGTGAAAAATACGTGTAGGAACCAGGAGGACACGAATATAACAGCTGAATGTTAGATATTGATATATACTGATATAATTATATAGTTTGAAGTCTATGACTGAATTGAAATTGGAAAGTATATTTTGTGTCAATTTTTATCAAATCAATTACTAAATAATGAAATTCGATGCTACAATTGTATTGTCAACTACCAAAATATATACTTGGACATTAATTCTTTTAACAACAACAAACAAATCAGTGATTTTAAACTTAATCGAGTTTATCATCAATTGTAAACTATGAATAAACTATAAATGTAAACTATGCAATGTACCTTTTATAGCAACTCAAATGTGTGATTATTTAGAAGCAAATGACCAAAATTTTTACTACAAAATTCATGAGAACTCTTTAAATAATGATAAGTCAACTTTTATAACAAATGTGTGTATAATACGATACAGCTTATTCTCCGTGAGATGCAATCAAGAAATCTGTTGTAAATTCATTCTCTCCGTCTCTCTCCTTTGCTATGTCTCTCTTCCTCCCTTTTCCCACTTCATCCTCCTTCTCCGCTAAACTTTACCATTACGTTCTACATTACATAAATATTATTATATTTTTAGATTGAACGAACCCCATAATTAATTTTTCATATTATAACTGATACTTCTGACTGCTAATGATCTTAGAACAAGTATATATGTTTGTATGTATATGTTTACATGTTAGGCCCTGCCTGAGTAATGTCAACGTCCTGGGCCACGATTTTCACGTCTTTATAATATGTCTATTCACTATGTGAAGGAAAGATTCCTTGTTATCTTATTTTGTATTGTTATATTGTTACATTGTATATGCTTTTCTATGGAAATAAATACTACTTGAACTACAAGGGAAATGAACTGTATATTTGATAGAAACAAGGAATAATGGATAGAGTGAGAAGATGAATTGTGGGAAATTAAGAACTAACAAGAGAGGATTACATAAACAAAGAATGAAAGAAAACAAATATTTAATAAAAAGGGAATTGAAAGAATTCATTGGTCAGATTTAACAGTGATAAAGATATAAAGAAAAGAGTGGAGGAAATAAAGATTTACATGATAGAAAAAGATGAGAAATAAAGGGGTAGAATAAAATTTAGAAAGAATATTTTTTAAAGACTGACAAATATGAAAATAAAGCGAGGAATAAAACTTGATAGGATATTACAAGGAATGATGGAAATATTCATTTCATTCTTTCATTCTTTGTTTTTGTATTCCTCTCTTGGTAGTTCTTAATTTCCCACAATTCATCTTCTCACTGTATCCATTCTTCCTTGTTTCTATCATATTAATAGATCATATACCTATGTACTATTACACTTTATCTAAAATCCACTTTACCCACCTAGTATATTTGTCTTTCCCGATGTCAGCCTTAATTATAATCTTCTTATTTGTCTATCATTGAACAAAAAACAATCACAACTTACAACTTCGTTTTTAAAGTAAATTTCCCCACGCATCCCCTTTGAAGACATCATTGAAAAAATGGCCCAGCGAGCCGCGACCCGAGTGTAAAAACAGTCGCTAATTTGAAATAAGATTTCCCCCTTATATTAAAAAGCCGATTTGAAGACACTTAAAAAAAGATGGCCAAACGAGCCGTGACCCGAGTGTTTTTCAGCGCGCCGCGACCCGAGTGTTTAGAACAACCCCATAATAATATCAGAAACAACACAAGTTCTGTCCAAAATGAAAAGGGGCACCCTTTACACATAATAAGGGCACTCTCCCTTGATGATGATATTAATACACTATACTGAACGTGTTCTCATAATAAATGTTGTTTAAGTTTTAATTGTGTCACAAATGTACAAGCATTACACTAGTCAATTCCCCTACTGCCTTCTTATGCTGCCATTATGGTATGTAAATACAAATACTTGACTGTTTGATTACAACTTCCACTGATTTATTTCGTTAAAAAATCTATGGGTTTTTTTCTTGTTCAAATAGGATATTTCCAACTCATGCTGCAAAATTCTCATTGTAATCAGTACATGTTGCCTAAACGATATGCTCCCTGTCATTGATATCTGGGAGTGGCCAAGCATAGGTCCACTAAGACCCTAACACAATTACAAATTGCCGGATGCCTACAAAAATGATAATAAAACCTCAAAATAACAAATCCTTTGCCAGTAGAGTGGGTAAACATTTTATGAATACATGGAGAAACCAAATATAAAAGAATACACATTTTAGACTGTAATAACAAGAACATGCCTTGTAATTTATGAGCATTTTCAGCAGTTTGGTGACTCAAAACAAAAGCATGTGTGTATTCAATGTAAAAATGGTGATTTGATATTAAAGGGAATGTTTTTACCAAGGCTGTGTTTTTCTGCTTTTGGTAACCTTCGAGTTTCTTACGTAGTCTTTGATGTTGACCCACGTTCTGTGTTTCAGCACAGCTTCAGCTTTCAAGCATTCGTCTATCGCTCTCTTGCCAGGTAGCTTAGAATGAACAGTCATAAAGGCTCCTAAACGTCTCTGGACAGCCGACTTTTCCGCATCGCTCCATGCTGTCTTTCGTTTCTTCCTTATTGGCTGTTCATCAACCTCTTCCAGTACATGTTGCGTTTGCCTTTGCCTTTTGGTACCTAATGAAAGACAATAACAAAAAAAATGTTGCAATTATACTATGCAGAATAATAAATGCAGTATCACATACTGTTTCTCTGAGTCTCTGACCCATGAACTTGAAGAGTGCATTACTGTTATGAGGATGGAAGGAGAGGAAGAATATTTAAATCCTCTTTTGCAGTGATGCAGAATAGAGTGTGATCCTGGGAGGAATACACTTAAACGATTTTTTTTTGCGGGAAGAAAGCCATCATATAATTTTGTAAAGCTCATATTTCGTGAAATTATGGGCATCTACCGTTTAGGGGAGTCGGGCACAAACAAGTCTTTAAATTATCTGACAGTGTCATGACAGATGGGGTTATGTTTCACATATTCTACCCGGTTTCTATTGGTCATTTATTTTGCTAATCTAGCTCAGTTTTGGGTTTATTTGGGAGGGGCTCCTGGCTGCCTCCATTTTCATCCATTTCCTAGTATATTGTAGTGATTGCTGTGTGCATGAAAAAAAGTACATTTTGTATTACCTTGACAACCCCTGACTCCCAGTCTAGAACAAAAGGGCCACGATCACATAATACTTTCTGAGTCTATATTATTGTATGTACACAATTTTTTTTTAGTTTAGAGAAGTTTAGATATAGAGACCAATTAAATTCACTAATAGATTTTCTCCGTCATTGGCAACAGCCTTTTCGTGAGGCTACATTACAATTATAATTGTGCTATAATTTTTAACAATTCAAAATGCACAAATATTGGTACGTGGTGATTTCAACAGGAAAAAGTTTGGTTTCACTTTGGCTTTTGAGGATGATTGAGAGTGCGGTACAATAGGCAAAATTAACATTTAGGTTTGCAAAAAGAAATTTTTTAGATGCTCTCATTGGACTTAAAGTCATACCTTTTTGGGAGCATCCAGGTAGCTGACGTTCGACATCATGATCACCAGAATCAACATCGCTGTCACAATTGTCATCACATGATTCAGGTCCCTGTTCTCCAGTGTCGATCTCTGTACATAAAATAATAATCAATAATATTCACCAAAAAGAAAATCTGGGTCAACTGCAAAGAAAACATACTTGTAATTTAAAACAAAAGAATATAATCAATTATTTCTAAATACAACATGGTAGAATTGGCACCAGGTATATGCCACATGTGTGGATCGAGTCAAACAAATGCCTTAATTACCCCTAATTTAAATAAATTGAAACAAACAAGTGAACAATATAGTGAGGAATATTTAACTGCATGGTTCATTTGAAAACAACACTTTTCATTAATTCAATAATGTTGCAGCATGTTTATCAATTTACATATTTTGTATTTGATAATTGTCAAGTTGAGTGGAAATCAGAAATACTTGATTCTTAAAATGAGTACATGCTACATGGTTTGTTATTCATCCCACTCATCCCTCGCCATGATGTTTCTCATCTCATTAGGGTTTGGATTGAGATCCCCACTGTATAATTCTACCCTCATCACAAATTTACCTTCATCTAACTTGATTTGAAGCTCATCCAGACTTTTTGCAGTGCCAATCAGCTGGACCGGGTTCCCAGCTTTTCCCTCCATGGCGAACAGGATCTTTGATATTTTGGCCACCTGCATAGCAGCATCTGGCAGTCTATAATACTCCCTATGTATCCTAATATCGTGGCCCATGAAGTTTGCTAAGGCGTCCATCTCATGGTCCCTCAAGCTCATTAGTTGTGACATGGTAGCTACATGCTTCCGTAATTTTGTGGATCGAAGTGTTGAAGGATTTTGTGCTCCACATGCTTCTGACAGCTCACGGAGAGCATCTGACCCTCGAACATGAGATGTAGTGTCACTATTGGCTACAGCGAACAGGTATTTGTTGCTTGGGTTTACACCTGCTTCCTCCCTGTGGGATACAAGGGTGTCTACACATGATTTCATGGAGTCTGTCACAAGGATCGGCACTGTCCTGCCACGTTTTCCTACTACCTCAACTCTCCAGAGAAACTTTACAAGATTTTTTTCCCAGTCTTTCAGCATCTCTAGTTGTCCTTCCACCATATGAGATTCACCTTTCTTGATTTTATTGTAGTCATCAAGAGTCATCTTGCTGATTTCCCCTTGTCTCCTCCTATTAAACACAATGAGATGAGCCAGCATGGTCTTGTTGAGTTCTCTCCATGTGCTATGGTTTTCGATTGCGGTCCCAGATGACAGTTTGTCTACACAAAGTTCAGCCTGTACCTCTAGGTGTCTTGACAAAGCCACAACATCACTCGTTAGGGGTAGGAGTTTGGGCTGGTTTCGTTTCCTCTGGTACAAAGTTCGTAGAGCATGAGTAGAGATTTCAGATCCCCAACAAGTGTCCAGCAGCTTGATGAACTTTTCTACAAGTTTCTGCATGTCATCCCCATCTCTGTCCATCAAAGCCTTACTCAGGAGCACAAAGGCAGCCTTTCTTAAGGTATGTCCCAGCTTAAGTGCTAGACTTGGTGTATTGAACAAGTGGTTCTCCTCATCAAAGCCTGCCACTTTCTTGACAGCACTCAAGACAGTCATAAAACCATTTGGTGATATCAGGGAAGTCAGACTTGCCTTGCCATTGCAGCTGCAACGTCTGAACTGAAGTACAAGTCTTCCTAGTTCTCGTAACTTGCATCTGATGTGGTTGTGCTGTTCTTCGTCATGGCCCAATTTCTTAGAGTACACCTTGGCCAATTCTAGAATCAACTGATCATTTAGAATGCAGGCCTTGATTTCATCATCGCTGAGACCACTCAGTACTTTGTGTGTTATAGAATCTCTTGATGTGCAGGGCACTGGTGGAAGCAAGAGTCGACCTTGTGCTAATAGTCTTCTTCGTTTTTTCTTTTGCTCCTTAGCCGGCTCTTCTTGCTTCAAAATGCAGCGGTGTTTCCACAATTCGGCTTTCGCAAACCATCCCAAACAATCTTTGCAAGGCTGATAATCACGGGGCTTTGCTTCACAAGAAGGTCTATATACGACCACAAGCTCTCCATGACCCTTTTCGAAGACCCTGTAGTTGTGCATGTGATTTCCTTTATTTCTTATCAATGTCAATAGCTTATCCTTTTCTTTTCGATTCGTTGCTGCCATGTATTGAGCCACCTTTATTTCATTGGAATGTTGTGACCGCAGGTGATCAGGAAGTTTTTTGTGGGGCTTCTCACACATCATGCAATAAGCTACCTTGTCATATTTTCGCCCTCCTTGATTGTTGGTCTTCATCACAGTTATCCCCTCATGGTCAGCATCAATGCCTCCATATCTTGATGATGCCTCCAATGACTGATCTGATGACAGAGATTTCAGTGATCGAGTGATGCCATTTATTGATGTACATTTAGCCTTAGGCAATGATGCTTGAGAATTATTTAATGAAGTCTTCCCTGAAGAGTCAGAATCTCCTTGAGAATCACAGACATAGTCTGGATCATCATCACTATCATCATTATGGTCAGATAATGTGTCCTCATTATCACTTGAAAAAATATTTTGTGAAAGGGTTCCATCTGGTACCATCAATGCTTGTGTGGCAGGCTCAGGGAATGGTTCCCAGTGCTCTCGGTTATTAGGGGGGTTTCTGCATAGATCATCAGATGTGTCATCATTATCAGCAAGAAAATTGGACAGTGAAAGGTTTCCATCTGGTTCCATTAAAGGTTGTGTGGCAAGCTCAGTAAATGGTTCCCAATGCACTTGGTTATTAGGGGGGTTTATGCATGGATCATCACATGTGTCATCATTATCAGCTGAAACATTAAACTGTGAAATCTTTCCATCTGATTCCATTAAAGCTTGTGTGGCAGGCTCAGGGGATGGTTCCCAATTTGTTTCGTTATTAGGGGGGTTTCTGCATAGATCATCAGATGTTTCAGCATCATCAGTTAGAACATTGGAGAGTGGAAGGTTTCCATCTGGTTCTATTAAAGGTTGTGTGGCAAGCTCAGTAAATGATTCCCAATGCACTTGGTTATTAGGGGGGTTTATGCATGGATCATCACATGTGTCATCATTATCAACTGGAACATCAAACTGGGAGAGCTTTCCATCTGATTCCATTAACGCTTGTGTGGCAGGCTCAGGGGATGGTTCCCAATGTTCTTGGTTATTAGAGGGGTTCCGGCATGGATCATCACATGTGTCATCATTATCAGCTGAAACACTGAACTGTGAAATCTTACCATCTGATTCCATTAAAGCTTGTGTGGCAGGCTTAGGGGATGGTTCCCAATTTGTTTCGTTATTAGGGGGTTTCTGCATCGATCTTCAGATGTTTCATCATCATCAGCTCGAACATTGGACTGTGAAAAGTTTCCATCTGGTTCCAGTAGTTCTTGTGTGGCAGGCTCGGAGAATGGTGAACAAACTTTTTCTGGGTCTGGTGGGAGGTTTGCAGAATTTTGCAGAATTTCAGGTTTTTCATCTTGGACTCCACTGTGTAATTGAGTAGGACTTGGGAATACAAAATTATCTCCCACCCCATAATCATATAACACTTCTTCACCTTCTTTGATTTTCTTCAATGAGAAGAGAACCAGTTCTGGTTCATTGTGAGGGTTCTCTCTAATCTTCATTCTGCTGTTGACTTCACCCCTCCAACCATGGTTGACGAGTCGTCCCAGTTGTTGTTTAGTTGGTTCGACTGATGCATCCCTACTGGAAATGAAATTGAAAAAAAATGAAAACATTAGATTCATCAATGTTTAAAATTACAATGAATCACTGAAACATACAAGTATATGTGGGTTACAATTTGTGATTTCACTTTAGGTTTTCTCTGTTGTCAGATATTATTTGATTAACTGTTACTTTTCAAGTAGGGTATCACTCAAAGAAGAATCGTTACAGTCATGATTTTTGTTAACGCATGGTTAATTTTAGGAGGAAATTTGAAATACAAGTAACATAGGAAACAAATAGGTAAAATTACATGTAGGCATTGGAAATCATAACCAATATCATGAACATTAAACATGCATATGTTTACTTTTCATTTGCCTTAAAATTGTAATGCTACAAAATGTCACCGTGCATCAGACAAGAGTACCGAGGCGAAAAAAGACGACGAACTAACCGTGGAAGATTTTTTCAATATAAATACAAATAACAAAAAACAAAACAAAAAAAACACAAAGGTCGAATAACGACACGCCCTACAAGCCACGGGCAACAGCATTGCGAACAAAATATATCCTCTCAAGACCCTCTGAAATACGAGAGCCAAAGACATTACATGGTATAACAAAAATAACAAAAAAGAGAGAGAAGCGACCAAATTGGGGAAAGGGCAAGGAGAGGCAACAGACTAAAGGGAAAATGTACAATTTCGGACATATCTATCCACAAGATGTTTACACCGGGTGGGAGAGATGGAAGAAGGCTTCGGCAGGGGAGAAGGAACATGCGGAGAAGAAAGCTGAGTCCAAGGAGAAGAAGGGAGGGAGAGATGAGGAAAGATTAAAAAATAGCATGGGAAAAAGGAAAAAAAGCATTATGATAAACAAGAACAGACGTGTAGAATGAGGGGGGAAAGAAGAAAATAATCTATCTAATCTTTAAAAGTGGAACGTAGCTCCAAAAAGCAAATAAAGAATACAATATAAAAAGTGGCTACTAGCACAAACTTGAATTCATATCAAACGGACCAAACATGTATGCAGTGTTATATTATTTTAGAATGAGCAAAGAAAGCAGGAAATCCAATGCAGGGTTTGAATTGTGCATTGAAAACTACATCCTCAATGAAGATTATGTTTACCAACTGTATGATTTTTGTTCTCAAGTTTTCAAATGATTTTTCAATAAATCTTACCATTTGACATATGTTGGCCCATCTCAGATCATCTTCCCAGATTATAAAGAAGAGGAAATTTGGGAAATTACAAAATGAATGATGAACATTTAACAAAGAAGGATAACAGAAATTAAAAGCAGAAGATGTATAAAGACAACAAGCAGGAGTAGCGAAATGAGAAATCCAGCTACAATGCGAGGATGACGCTGGACAACAGACATTGAAAGAAATGAATTAGGAGGATGGGAAGGGAGAGGAGGAGACAAAGCAGATGAAGAAGTTGAATGAGGAGTTGATGAGCGAGGGGTTAGGAGAGGGGTTGAGGGAGGGGTTGGGAGAGGGGTTAGGAGAGGGGTTGAGGGAGGGGTTGTGTGAGGGGTTGATTGGGGGGTGCGGGGAGGTGTTAGGGGAAGTAATGAATGAACAGATGAAGTAATATCAGACTGAAGTGAAGATGAGGTGTAGAAGAAAGGGGGAGTAGAAAAAGAGTCTTCCGATGACATATTGCAGGGAACTGATGAACCAGCATCATTTAAAACTTCACTGGAGGGAGAGGGAGGTGGTGCAAGCTGCGTAGAAATTTCCGAATCTGTTTCATCATTTAAAACTTCACTGGAGGGAGAGGGAGGTGGTGCAAGTTGCATAGAAATTTCCGAATCTGTTTCATCTGTAAGATGAAATGTGGAGTGTACAAAAAAAAAACATGGACTTTTCAGTGTAATGCACCTTTCTTTTATATCCAATATTTGTACCAAATATTGTTTTATATTCTCATTTTATGCTCTCCAAAATGGAATATGATCTGTTGGACTGACAAGGTTGAATAATTGTCATTGGTAAGATTGTGTGTTTTTTGTATGATAGCTAAAACAGGTTTGAATAGATAGAGAAGAATATAAGTTGCATATTTGTTCTATGCTGTCCTTGCCGTATTGATACTTTCTGCAGAAAAATGTATGTGTACTGTATGTGGTCAGTCCACGGGTTTATTCAAAAGCACGGAATAGAATTTGACAGATATGACTAGCTTTCGATCTTTCTCTAGGGAAAAAACAAAAACCACTGGTAGAAAATATGTTGCCCTGTCAACCCACATGTTTACGACTACGTCATAAGCATATAGCCTTAGGTTTGTTTTCAACACCTATCATTACAAAATATACTTTTCAATAAATCAAGTCGTCATAGTATGTAGACTTACCACCATTTCGTCCCTTTCCATGTGAAAAAGTATCTGAAGCAAGTTTCACAGTCTGCATCTCTTCTTTCCCCCACATCTCTGGTTACCAGATCTCCTCTGTACCACAAAAGGAATTCTCCCTCTTCAAACGTTTTGGTGGTAAAGACTGCTCTACCTGTGATTGAAGAAATACATAATCTTCATGAGATCAATCATGCGAGTTTAAACATTGTGAATATGATGTTACAAGTATATTTGTCTGTCATTTAAGATAATGCTCAGGTGTGATAAGTAACTCAGACTCGTACTTGTAAGAAGGCACTTATTTTCAAAATTGGTTGAGTTTTAAATAACATTTGTGTGTCTTTTTGGTCACATTGCCATCAAGCAGACTTGTAAGCAACACATTGTATTTAATATTAGTATGCTGCAGATATTAAATTACAGTGTCATGCATGTCATGATGAACATGACGTTTTCTCTAGATTTTCTAAAAACTTTTTGACATTCAACCCCATGAGGAGGCATTAAAATTCATTTCAAGGTCTAACCTTTAAACACTTAACCAAATCAAGTTTAATACCTCCTGCTTTACAAAAGAGCCCTGTACATACAAATATTTACAAAAAAATAGAATACATTGTAGAAAACATTTTAAAAAAAAGCTTTAAAAAAATAAAAACTAGATCAAAATGAACAAAAGGCCTTAAATATTAAACATTTAAGATATTATTGATACAAAGAAAAATGACCAAAAAAATATTTTAAAAAATACACATGCCGTAAAAATAGACTACACAACTGCAAACAGACAAACAAACAAAACTAACTTATGGTAAAAGTCATGATATAACATTAGGTACCAGTGCATGCATTAAAGTGATAGAGGGAGTGACTTAATTTGGTTTTTTAACATTTGGAGTGAAGTTTCCGTGCGAATATGAGTCGGTAGATTGTTATAGATGCTTGGAGCAGTGAAAGAAAAAGAACGTTTTTTAAATTCAGTCTTTGGTTTCAGGATAAATAAGGGATTTAAGGTAGAATGACAAGTAACAAAGTAAACTGGACGATTATGACCAAAAGATTCTAAATAAGGGGCTAGATTATTGAGTATTTTGTAGACGAAAATGCAGTAGTGGTAATTGATTCTATTTTCAACACTTTGCCATTGAAGACTGCTTCACGCAATTAAGTGTTGAATTAAGATTATAAAAACAGAAAAATATGAGGGAAAGCATATCAAATATTCTACTGCATGAAATTAATGAAATATACAGAAAGGGTATAGATTTTACTAAAGAAGTTGACCTGTTTAACTGCGAAGGGTATCAAAGTTACTCTGAAAAGAGCTGGTGATTTTTAGACAATAGGCGATGAGGTGTGATCAAAGAACCATACCAGGCGTTCCTTGCATAGTCTAGCTCTGAATCAATATTTTATTGAGCATATTAATGTTAGATATCTATGCTACAGTGAATTTTCACTATTAATACAATCTACATGTACATGTATGTAACCTCACTCACCTTTGTCAGGCAGCTGTTTCACTGTAAATCCTTCAGGATCAACTTCACTAAAAATATCTGGAACTGTCTGTCTGGTTTGACTTCTGAGAATCCGATTCTGAAACAGGTCAAGTAAATATTAGTAATATTATGCAGAAACACAGCTGTGAGCAAGCTGGAAGAAAATATCTAAATATTACACCCCCCCCCCACATCCTCCCCCTTATCATACTGGAATTTGCCAAAATATTGCTACTCATATCCATGCTCAATTTTATTATATTATTTGTTAAAATCATGAGGTATTATGAAACACATCCATTATGATGTACATCAAGGGGGTCATGTAAATACATGGCTCCACATTTCCCATGCACACATCTTATCATATTTGACTCATTTGCAATAGATATAGATTGCTCCACATTTCCTATGCACACATTTATACATATCTAGCCCATATGCAATAATAAATGTGGCTCCACATTTCCCATGCACACATTTATACATATCTGGCTGATGTGTAATATATATAGATATGGCTCCACATTTCCCATGCACACATTTATACATCTTCAATCCACCTTAAATAGTTGAGATAAACATGGCTCCACATTTCCCATGCACCCATTTATACACATCTGGCCCATATGTAATATATAAATGGCTCCACATTTCCCATGCACAAATGTATAGACATCTGGCCCATGTGTAATATATATATATATATATGGCTCCACATTTCCCATGCATAAATTTATACATATCTGGGTCATGTGTAATATATATATAGATATGGCTCCACATTTCCCATGCACACATTTATACACATCTGGCCCATTTGTAATATATATATATGGCTCCACATTTTCCATGCACACATTTATACACATCTGGCCCATGTATAATATATATAGATATGGCTCCACATTTCCCATGCACACATTTATACAAATCTGGCCCATGTATAATATATATATATATATATATATATGGCTCCACATTTCCCATGCACACATTTATACACATCTGGCCTATGTGTAATATATATATATATATATATGGCTCCACATTTCCCATGCACACATTTATACACATCTGGCCCATGTTTAATATATATATGGCTCCACATTTCCCATGCACACATTTATACACATCTGGCCCATGTGTAATATATATATGGCTCCACATTTCCCATGCACACATTTATACATCTGGTCCATGTGTAATATATATATATGGCTCCACATTTCCCATGCACACATTTATACACATCTGGCCCATGTGTAATATATATATATGGTTCCACATTTCCCATGCACACATTTATACACATCTGGCCCATGTATAATATATATAGATATGGCTCCACATTTCCCATGCACACATTTATACAAATCTGGCCCATGTTTAATATATATATATATATGGCTCCACATTTCCCATGCACACATTTATACACATCTGGCCCATGTGTAATATATATATATGGCTCCACATTTCCCATGCACACATTTATACACATCTGGCCCATGTGTAATATATATATGGCTCCACATTTCCCATGCACACATTTATACACATCTGGCCCATGTGTAATATATATATATGTGGCTCCACATTTCCCATGCACACATTTATACATCTGGCCCATGTGTAATATATATATGGCTCCACATTTCCCATGAACACATTTATACACATCTGGCCCATGTGTAATATATATATATATGGCTCCACATTTCCCATGCACACATTTATACATCTTCAATCCACCTTAAATAGTTCAGATAAACATGGTTCCACATTTTCCATGCACACATTTATACATATCTGGGTCATGTGTAATATATATATAGATATGGCTCCACATTTCCCATGCACACATTTATACACGTCTGGCCCATTATATATATATATATATATATATGGCTCCACATTTCCCATGCACACAGTTATACAAATCTGGCCCATGTATAATGGCTCCACAGTTCCCATGCACACATTTATAAGTCTTCAATCCACCTTAAATAGTTCAGTTAAACATGGCTCCACATTTTCCATGCAATCATTTATACATATCTGGGTCATGTGTAATATATATATATATATATATAGATATGGCTCCACATTTCCCATGCACACATTTATACACGTCTGGCCCATTATATATATATATATATATATATATGGCTCCACATTTCCCATGCACACATTTATACACATCTGGCCCATGTGTAATATATATATATATATATGGCTCCACATTTCCCATGCACACATTAATACACATCTGGCCCATGTGTAATATATATATATATATGGCTCCACATTTCCCATGCACACATTTAAACACATATTGCCCATGTAGATCTATATATATATATGGCTCCACATTTCCCATGCACACATTTATACACATCTGGCCTATGTATAAAATATATAGATATGGCTCCACATTTCCAATGCACACATTTATACAAATCTGGCCCATGTATAATGGCTCCACAGTTCCCATGCACACATTTATAAATCTTCAATCCACCTTAAATAGTTCAGTTAAACATGGCTCCACATTTTCCATGCACACATTTATACATATCTGGGTCATGTGTAATATATATATATATATATATATATAGAGATATGGCTCCACATTTCCCATGCACACATTTATACACGTCTGGCCCATTATATATATATATATATATATATATATATGGCTCCACATTTCCCATGCACACATTTATACACATCTGGCCTAGACCTATGTATAAAATATATAGATATGGCTCCACATTTCCAATGCACACATTTATACAAATCTGGCCCATGTATAATAGCTCCACAGTTCCCATGCACACATTTATAAATCTTCAATCCACCTTAAATAGTTGAGATAAACATGGGACCACATTTCCCATGCACACAATTATACACATCTGGCCCATGTGTAATATATATATATATATATATATGGCTCCACATTTCCCATGCACACATTTATACACATATTGCCCATGTAGATCTATATCTAGTTATGGCTCCACATTTCCCGTGCACACATTTATACACATCTGACCCAGATTATTATGGCTCCACATTTCCCATGCACACATTTATACACATCTGGCCCATGTGAGTTAAATACAGATAGGCCTAGACCTATGGCTCCACATTTCCCATGCACACATTTAGGCTAAATCTGGCTGATGTGAAATAGACCTTCGAATCTAACGTTACTAGATATTCCTTTAGTTTAACTCTAAAGTTAGGCCTAAGAAGAACTTATACTAGACCTAGATCTACTACTACTAGTAGCCTAGACTAGTAGTACTAGTCTAGGGCTAGGCCTAACGTTAGGCCTAGATCTACATCTTACTTAGATCTAGTCTAGATTAGATCTAGATCTAGATCTATGTATGAGTTTTTTGTACCCAATATCATGAATAGAACTAGATCTATAGGCCTAAGGAATTCTTTAAAAAGTTGATAGAATATTAATGGGCCTAGAGGCTAGACTGGATTAAAAATGAAAGTAAACTTTCTAGATCTAGACTAGTTCTACTTACTTTTGCCAGTTGTGGCTGTACTAATCCCGCCATGACATGTCCATATACGTTAACAGGCACGTCGCAAGGTGCACTGCACCAGCACTGCGCATGCGCTGCATCTAATAAGATACAGACTGTGCAGTGTGTATCCTCATGCTGGCGCTCTTCACTTGATATTATTCTTGAGATCGGAAAATAATACACATATTCAGGCTGCAAGCTATGACTCCAAAGTGGGAAACCGGGGATGGAGTTAAATCGCAGCCGAACGTTGATGGGGTACTACTGAGATGTCCCAAAGCTGATTTAAATCTCGTTTTAATGATTCTGCAACTGTGGAGCTCCACGGTTTGCTGTGTCTCCACAGTTGGAAGTTGTGTATTCATATGAACCTCCCCGATTGACGGTCATTACAAGTGCACACACACACACACACACACACACACATACAAAAAAGAAGGGCGCGGGCGTGTGTTCGTGTCAATGTGTATGTGAGGAATGCATTAATATTTTTTTCTGGGCAGAACACATGGGCAAAACGCTGCCATTTCGATCATTTCCGCTGTATCCGAAACCAGGGTGAGTTTGTTGAATTAGAAGGTATGAATATTAAACAAAAAAACAATCAAAAAGAGAGAGAGATAGAAAGTGAATGAGCGAGTGGGAGAGCAAAACAAAAGATATAAATGTGTTAGTGGGTGAGAGCAAAAGGGTGATTAAAGGTATTACAAAGTTTTGGGAAATTTTGAAAACTGGGTAGATAGTGATTCTTTACAATTTTGATATATTTGGATGCCCCTGCGGATGTATTATAAGCACAAACAAAATTAGCCCCTTAAACACTTCTGCTTTCGAGAAAAATTGAATATAAAAATATACCGGTGCTCCCGGTAAATTTTGATAAAAATAAAATAGCGCCTACGGCCGTTTAATGGTAACTGCCACCGTGAAAATCTCAGAATATGTAGTTGTGATAAATTATTTCCACATGGGAATTGCTTATCGGTCGATTTTAGTCAAGAAACTTTTTTGTATAGCTTAATTGATATTTTGACCTTGAGAGGGGGCTTAACAACATGAAGAGTTATTATTTTCAATTGCATACCTTTAGACTCGATTTCAACCGCGACGACGATCAATGAATATTGTCGAATCGTAAAATGCTTCCAATATGTTCATTTGAACCAAATTCATGACCCCATACCAAAACATTGTATTATCTTTAAGTTATATAGTGTTTGAGTGAATGTGGGTGATAAAGAGGGGGAGAACGAGGTTTACTAAGAGGGAAATTGAAATATTAGGTGAAAGAGAGAGAGAGAGAGAGAGAGAGAAGGTTCGGGAGACAGACAGAGAAAATAGAATGACAGATTTGATGGTTGAAGGAAGGAGTGAGAGAAACATTCATTGTCATTGTTTAACAGTTATTTTGTAAAACAGCAATGCCTGACAAAAAATATAGAATGAAGAGTCTTACCCATAATTGATGATAATGGTGTCATTTTACTCTACCCAATAAAACATAACAAATATTGCATTGTGTCAATGAAGTAAAGAGTTTAAATTATATGCCCAAATAAGAATAATAGTGCATTTATATGAGTTGAAATTAGACTGCCAATGTAATTCTATCAAAATGCATGACATTTGCATAAATGAGCATTTTCGATGGGGAGATTAATCACGGATTTTGTGGCACCACTCTTTGATACGTTTACAGTGAAATCTGTAGATAAAGACTACCCAAGGGAAACAGGAAAATGGATCTTTTAGATTTGTAGTCTTTATGTACAGTAGCCGAAATGCAACTGTATCACTGTGTTGATTATTTCAAACTTTTGATAAAAATCATTTCAAGTGAAAGGTCTTTAACAGATAATACACATCTCGATTTTCTTACGTTCTATCAAAAGCACATAAGTGACACTTTTAGTCAAATAATGTGCGTAGAACCAACTACATCGTATTTCTTAGTATTTCTCAAGAGATGGATGTCTCAAGCATGGATGT